TCATTTTCTGGTTGTTGAGGCCTTGAAATCAATATAGATAACATAATAAATTTTCTCTTCATGCATAACCAATGAGACAAATTGTAAATGATCAACAAAACTGGTCATGAATTATGTTTACTACTTAAGTTTCCATAATGATTCGTGTCATTTGTAGTTAATCCAATACTCAAGCTTATTGACTCTGCACCAAATTCCAGAAATGTTTTATCAATCCTCTTCCATTGTGAAGAATTAGCTTGATGTCGAAGAAGATTGTCACATTTTCTACCATTCGCATGTCATGTGTTTTTTGCATAATCTTTTATGGCAAACAATATTTTGAACTTAGGTATTATTGACAAACATCATAACACCTTAGTAAGGGGACAATCTATTTCTTCTTCATCATTACTTTCATCAACTTTATTTTTGAATTGCAATAATCCACATCTTAGATACAACTTTAATATAGCAAAATCATTTATATACAAAATGCAATCATTAGGACATGCATGTATCTTCTTATACTCTAAACCCAATGAACATAATATCTTATTTATCTTATAGTTACGATTAGATAATGTGCTATCTTCTAGAAACATCTCCTTCAACTACTCCAATAATTTGGTAAAACTTCTATCAATCCATCCATTTCTTACTTTTAAGTTGAACAATCTTAAAGTTCTTGAAAATCTTGTAAAACTACATCCTGGGTATAATTGTTATTCAAAACCAAACTTCAAAGAATCATACACATTTGTTTTTTTTAAATATTCTTCACTAATATCACGTATTATTTCGGCTAAATTATCATTCATCCATTCTTCAAAATTTGTTGTTCTTAACATAATTGGGATGTCTAATATTTTATCGTGTCATGTACATATTGTATAACTCTTAACAATATCATAAACAAACAAGTGATCATGTATATCCCCAAGTTTATGATGAATTTGATTAAAACAATGAATACATGAATAGTAATATGCTTCTTTAGAAGGTTTTCCATTTTCATGAACAAATTACAAAAAACTCTTCAACTCTCTTTTTGTACTTTTCACTAATACGACATGCATTCATCAAACTTTTGGTCCATAACAATCTATTTATAATTTTTGTCACTTTTAGAGAATCAAAACCATTCATATTTAAGAAAAGAAGTTATTATACGAACAACCACAAACAATAACAGTTCAATTTCAATAATAATGCAATATTGTGCTTGAGATCTCAAAAACAATCATGTGATCAATTTAAACATAAAACTAGGAACATAAAACATTAATTAACCTCAAAGATACATAAAACATCCTAAAAATCAAATCCAATCGGAGAGAAACGTCAACCACCACAAATGGGTCATAATGTAGGTGTTGTCACTTGCTCACCTTGGTCGAAAAACATGTTTGGAGGTGTTGTAGTAGTCGTTGTGGCCAATGACAAATATTCTTTGGAGCTAAAGGGGGTCATGCCTTTTGTAACTAACATATGTATTAATTATTTTGACCCCCAAACTTAATTATCATTAAATATACTTTCTTGTAATTTTATAATTTTGAACTCTTACATATTCATCTTCTTTTACCTTTTTATATTCATTTATTATTTATTAATAATATATTATTTTGTCTCTCTAAAATTAATTGTCAAAATCCGTCATTGGTTATCGCTAGTCATCTACTAAAAAATCCTCAAGCTAGTGAGGAAGACGAAATCTTAAGTGAGATAAAACGTGAATTTTATGTTAATCCTTGTTGAGGTCAATGTAAAAGTCATTTCTTATGTCGGTATGATGGACCTTATTGGGAGATGAGGGGGCTATGACCCTCCAAATTTTTGTAACTTATATTAGCATTCATTATTTTTGTCTCCCATTATTGTTAAAGTTTTATAACTTTCATTAGCAAATAATGATCCCCAAACTTAATAATTATTAAATATACATAATTATATATTTACAAATTTGATATCTCACCCTTTCATATTCTTTTTATCTTTTTTATATTTATTGATAATATATTATTTGACTTCCTCAAGGTGAATAGTCAGATTCCACCACTGGTCTGGATAGAGTACGTCCGACGTAAAAAATAACTTTTATGTTAACCTTAATAAGATTGAAGTAATATCTCACATTTTTATTTTTTAAAATATTATCGTATTTTTTAAATCGATTAGTATGTAGTATATAAAAAAAGATGATGTAAAATGTCCATTTGACTTTACATCTTTATGCTACCAAATTGAACTTAATGTGTTCCAAGACAATGACACTGGAAATGTTGATATCTAAAAACATCTTAATAATGGACAAATCCAAATATTTATAAAAACCAACAAAACATAATCAAAGCCTAATCCTTCCTTTATCTTACAAATAGTACAATTCCGTATAGATCGTCCACATAGTATGTAAGTGTATCACATAACCCTTTAACTTGCCATTGGTAAAATAGACCTTAATCCTTAAGCATCAAAATTCCTTATCTTAAAACATCTTCCACAATGCAAAATAAAATAAGAGAAAGCAAATCGCCTTGACCTGTAAATTTTTTATAATAAAATATTCAACCACATTACCATTTACTCTCAAAAAAGCTTACGAGATGCTATAATTATTTGTGTCCAATGACAAAATATTCGCATCAAACCCTAAAACACGAAAGATATCCATTAAAAACTTAATTAAGCATATAAAATATGTTAAATCAAAACTTGGATAAGCCTCAAATCTTGAAGATGAAAGTTTTGATTAAGTGCAACAAGTATTTAATAATCATCTTAAAGACAATCATAATTTGTTTACATCCGTGATCATAAAATTAAATACATTTTAAATCTACAAATAGTCGATATCTACTTCCTTAACAGACCTTAAGTTTAAATGTTTTATCATCTGAGAATGCTTTACAAATGCAACGTTTAATATTTTATATACATACTTTTACATGTTTATCATACATAATGTTTACAACAACAACAAAGTAATGTCTTAGTGGAAGAAAACAAAATGTGTTTATCCAAGATTGATAAAAAAACACAAAGTTATCAAACACTAAAAGCAAACCATTTAATTCATCGATTTGAAAGTTTCTATAATACACGCAAGTATTGTCAAAACTAAAAAGAAACAGAGAAAAGATGTAGAAAAAAAGAAGAGGAAAAATAAACTAATGACTACTCAAATCAATTAATCAAAATATCTAAAACTAAGGACAAATAACAAGTTAATCATATCTATAAAACTAAGAAAAAAAAACGAGAATATATATGATTTTGTTTTAACCATTTATAAAAAGAAAACACAGAAGAAAAAATGTTTCAAAGTTTCCCTAAATTTTATGAAAAGACTATAAAAAATTCTTTATGCTTAATTTTAGCGTAATCAAAATAGAAAATAGTAGAGAAAGAATACAAATAATAAGAAAAATAGGTATAACAATAAAAATAATAAAATAATTAAAATGTAATATTCAAATAATAAAATAATTAAAATATATTTAATAATAATACAAAATTGTTAATATTAAATAAATTTATTTGATAATTAAAATAATTTCACCTTTGAATCGTTTTTATAATTATTATTTTTGACTGTCTTAATTTTCCTATCAAATATAAAAAAAGCATTTATTACGTATCGAGATATAATAGAATCCTAACAAACCAATCATTGATCTTTTCACAAAAGCAGGTAGTAGAAAAGGGATAAATTAAAAAGGAATAATCTATTAGCCTAATTATTTTATTCTAAATCAGCATTTCATATTTCACTCTTGTGGGACTTCATGACTGGGTTCCGGTCGCAATCAAACAACCAAATATGGAGATTGTAGATCTTCAATTTCATGCGAATCACATGATCGAATCTACGATCACATGTCCAAGGATGAAATCCCTTTTCATTTCACTACACTGACCAAACCTACTCCCATGGGAGGAGGACCCATGCAATGATTGTCTTCTTCTACTCTGCAGTGATTTTCATGGACTCACGCTACCAGAACTATAATAGTTTGTTTGAATGTAAAACAAATAAAGTGTTAGAGTAGAAATAAATAAAAATTAAGCATTTATTTTTTTAAACTTGTATTTTTCTGTCACATATTCAATCTTATTTTATTTTGTGACAGGTAAGAAAAGTCTTGGTTCGGATAATTTTCATTAAAGAGTTTAATTTAATTACAAGTTTAAAAATTATTATCGAACCTCGCCTTTTACTGATTTTCTTAATTTATCCAACCGAATTTAACAAGTGCATCCAGTTTATATAATGAATTATTATATCAAGCCAACAAATTGACTGATTCCATCCCAGACTAGCATGCTTGGACTAGCTAAGTTCTAGTCTAGGTCAAATTAAATCAAACACATATTCTAAAACCTAAACCATGTTTGTAACGGCTAAATGAACTAGAGCCATTTTAAACAAAAAGATATTCTCCATGTACATATTCTGAATTGTTAATTTCCGAATAACTAGTGAATATTTTTCAAATGAAGAATTGATGAAGCAATGATAAGATTGATTTTATATTAACTTGGTGAAATATATTAACTATTAATATTTAACAAGTTTAATTTAATATATAATTCCTTTAAAAATATCCTTACCACCAGATCAATTGTTTTTGAATTCACGTCATGTTCCAATTACTCGGAATTGTTGCACAATTTATCTTTTATCAAATTGATGAAATTCTGTGCGTACTAAATGCCAACACTCTTACGTAATACATATGCAACCCACACAATAAATAAAAAGGGAAACACACAAAAACACACCACGATTTGCTGGCATGCTTCATTTGGATAGAGACACATACGCACGCACATCGCAAAAGGTTCGGTGTATAAGAGCTGTCTGGTCCCAACATTTCCTCCACGACAATTGGCTTACTCGTTCCATTAACCACTCAGTTCTCTATACAGCAGCTCTCACGCTAAACCGCATTATCTAGTTAAAATCTGTAAGGTCCAAACAATAATATGAACATTGTTTTATGGAAAAGCCATTGTCATGAGTCTTCAAAATGATGATCTGTCTCATCAAAAATCTCCTCCTACACAGAAATATTGACACCAGTAAATCTCTCTACAAGTAAATAAGATTTTTATCTACCATGTTTCATGAAGGAACAAGATTGTTCAGAATGATCATTAGTAGTTTAATACCTGTAGAAGCTCTTCAATGACATCTTCCATTGTAATAATGCCAACAGCTTCTTCTTCTTCAGGGAGCTTTGGAAGGGGACTTCCATCTATCTCCAAAATATCCGAGTACATATTTTTTGACCATTTTCTGCTTCGAGAACCACCCCTATTTGACATGTTTGTATTTGGGAAGCTTTTCCACTTATGGAGTGGCACCTTGGATTTCAAAGCTTTCTCTTTGGGAGACTTTTCACCATCAATATCCACCTTCACATCTCTCACCGAGTCTATTTCAGAGGCGTGAGGCACACGGCATTTGTTAAGAAAGAAAAATTCAGTTCCAAATTTTAAACAGTTTATAGCATGTTTTTACCGTTTGCATTATTTTGGGGAGATTGTTGCTTCAACTTGTCACACCGTCTCACAACAACTGCCATGTGACTATGGCCCTTCTGGAACTCATTCAAAATGTCATAAAGTGGCATACTTTCTGGTACCCTGTCAGTATATGTTAGGTCACGTAATTGAGTACAATATAAAACCACCTTGTCTTTCCCCATTTTACTGGTAAAACATATATAAGATACCTTGGAATCCTGCGTATAGTTACACTCTTTACGGGTGCTTCATCTTCTGGATGAACAGTCAACAAATTCTTCACCTAAAATTAAGCAGCATGCACTCAGAAAACAAAAGGTTTATATAAATACAATCACAAAAATAAAGGATTTAGAAAACATCCATTGATCAAGCAATAGTAAAATGTATAGAGAAAAGAAACAAAAAAATAATGCAAAGTTATAATAACCTCATCATAAAAAGTTTACTGATAAAAAGCAAAGAACAAAATCACAGGAAAAAAAAAATCTCTCAGCAGCTGGAATTCATATCAACAATGCAGGAAGCATTAACCTCAATGAATATCAATCCTGTTGACGAGATACCCACCACTAATATCACAACTGAGTTATAACAAATAATGTTTTACAAACCACACAAAAAGTGACTTTCCCTGATGTTTTGATTCCCACTATACGTTTGTGTTTTACAGAATCGTCACCAAATTAACCTCTGACATTTTGCTAAGTACTCAGGCTTAAAAAGTGAATTCATTGCATCACAATTAACATGCAACACTTTAGGTAATAGTTTACCACCCTATAAAGTACTAAGCTTGTATCATAACCAATGTGCAGCAGGAAATTCAACTGATTGTTGGCTTGTGCGATTAACTCATGAATAACCCAAATATCACATGACCTTATGAAAGCTACATTGCATACATAAATTAAGTGCTGAGCTTGTTTTTAAATTAAGTGAACCCATAAAAGTATTTTTTCTTGCTCATATCAAATCTCAAATCCGCAAACAATTTTTACTCCTATACTGGCATTCATTGTCAAAGCCAGTCATTTTGGACAAGTGAATGAAGCAAGAATCAGCTGAACCCATTGTAACCATAGAAAAAAAATATATGCTCTCCAAACGTATATGGGGATTCTAGGTAAGAAAATAGACTAGATTCTCATTTCCAAGGTTACAACTGTCAATTGCAAAATAATTCAGTTCTTAGCAAGTAAATGCTCAAGTGATGGTATTGTGTTTCTCATGGAGGCTGACCTTCAATTTAAGTTCCTATTGCTTTGATCAAACAGTCAAGAACAATTGACTTTTGTAATAATTCTCTCTATGTGGTTTTTAAAGTACTTCATCTAATTCTAACGAAATTAGAATGGTCAACATTAAGGTTTAAAGGAGAAAAAATAAAACACTTTACCAGTATAAGTCCTATAATGTTTGTAGGCTGCTCATAAAAGACTGGGACTCTGCTATGCCCTTTCTCCAATATTTCATTCATCAGTTCCCTGTTTAGTAATAGGCATTAAATTTGTACAAAATACAAAAGCTACCTTTTGTTCATAAATTATAGAATACATCTTACCTATCAAGCTTTGAATTAATATCAACGGCAAATGTTTCAGCTATAGGAGTCATGGCATCACTGGCTGTCTTCTCGCTGAGTTCAAGTGCCCCAGCAATGATAGTCGTTTCATCATGTGTCAGTTCCCCACCTTTTCCAGCCTAATACATTTCAACCATGAACAGCACCAACAAACACACAAATAGCATGGATGTTAAACCTCAGGTTTCGAAATATACAGAAGAGAAGTAGATAAGATAGCCCTTGGTGACAGTTCCGACAATACTTGGACTGAAAAAGAAATGCTATAGAGGAGAAGCAATAATACAGATTTGGTCCAACTACAACTAAAGAAAAAATTAATGAAAACAAGAACATTATAGAGGCCTTTATTTCATCTAAAAACATCATATTGCCATGATACAGACCTCATTACCATGCAAATCTACAAGTGTCTTTAATTCAGCTCTACGGAATAAGGCTTCATGTCGATGGCCAAGCAAAAAGTCCAACAACTGGAAAACCCATATAAATGCACAAAAAGCCAATGAGGAAATGGAAATTAGGACAAAACAAATTAAAATTTGCTGCATATTTACTCAAATAAATTCTGCAAACTTTATGTCACCTTACTAATTGGAAAGGCAACAGGAAAGCATATGCATACAAGAACCCGAACAAAGGGAGCCACTGATGCACCAATAGCCAAACCATACCGAGAACAAACTGATTGGGGTATAATCTTCACATGAGTAGACATATGTCAGAGAACTTTCACAGATTGACAGTTAATATATTCATATTATATATTAGACAAATAAATATCTACCACACATACATCAACCCAAAGGGTTAGGACCACCATACAGCAGGACCCTACTAAGGTTATTGCAAAATTAACACCGGCAAGTAGAAAGTCAGATTTACAAATTTAACTACTACTCATGAACAAGTAAATCATGATTTAAATCAAATTTCTCCCTTCCATATTCACTGTGTGATACATGATTGAAACTCAAAAGGCAATCTATTAGCATCTTTTCAATTCCTAATCTACTATTAAAATTCAATGTAACCCCAAATCTCCTTAGTCCTCTATCACAATGTCAAAAGGAATGTACCTGTACCACCCTCTAAGATCAAAGTGAAAAGGAAGAGACATGCTTTTAAAGTATGTTTGTTATAAATTTTGGTAGAATTAATTTTGAAAGAATTAGTGTTAAAAGAATTGCTCTTGAAGAACATAATAGTGTTTAGGAATGATAGAAAAGTGAGTTTAAAAGTATAGTTTTTGAATGAATAGATAAATTAAAGCCACTTTTAGCAATAAAATAACTGAGAAACATATTAAATTTAATTTATATATATATATATATATATATATATATATATATATATATATATATATATATATATACACGTGTGTTATAAAGATTAAAGTTATATTCGCTACATACTGATAGATGAATGAAAAACTACTGTTTCAGCTAGAATTCATTCTAATGGACCGAAAATGTCTTTTACAAATGGAAAAAATGCAAACCAAACAAATCAGATTCCTTGCTACCAGATTTTGATAGCTACATTGTTCCAACCTCCAAACAAATAGGCTCTTAATCTAAGACATGCGTGTATTCTACTTACAACATATAGTTACAGAAGGTTCTTCTCACCTCACCGAACAAAAGAATTAATGTCACCGAAATAAGGATAGCACCCCACGCAGTAACAAGACTATCGAGAAAAATAGGAAGGGCCTGAAAAAAACAATAACAATCATAATTTATAATATGAAATCCGTGTGACGATATAAAGACCAGCATACGACTGTAGTGGTACCTCCATGGCTGCAGCATTGCAAATTAGCAGAGTACAAAGCAATAAATGTTGGTTTTTGACAACTGGTAATATCTTCGCTATAAATACAAAAACAAAACGCCAATTCAAACAGGTAGAGGATCAATAACCAACTAAACACTTTCCAAAGCAGAACAAAAGAAGAAGAAAAGCAATCACGTTCTTCCCGTTTCTACCGTACCAAAAGTCCCTTCATTAATGGAACATTCAGCCAAAGATTTCCTTTGTCCTTAAAATCTAGGTAATCTGCCTCATGATTTTTATTGTTAGAATAAATTTTGACAAACTTTGTCCTTAAAATCTAGGTAGTTTGCCTCATACTTCATATATAAGCCAAAAGAAATCAAAATTAGACAACTTCTATACATTAGTCTATCCGTAACTCATTTTATACATAGCCTAATTTTAATTTATTCATATCACTTTTACTTCTTATTATCTGACCAGGCCTTAGTCATAAACTCCCAAACAAGGTTTTAAAAAACGGTCATCGTGATTTCAGATGCAATTTTAGAATGTCCGCAGCTTCTTACAGTAGCAAGCACCTTGCGGAAACCACGACGACAAGTTTTTAAAACCACGCTCCCAAATATCTCTAGAACGGGACTCTTAATCAACAACAGAACAGCACTTTACTTCTTTACTTTCTCGTTTATAATTTCTAGCGAACAATTGAACCATCACAGAGAGTTACCATGACAGATCATTTTCAATTGGAAACAAATTCAGCACAAAATAAAAAAACGAAAACAATCTGTTATCTGTTTTTTTTTTTTTTTTTATTATTATAGTTAAAACCAGAATAAAAACTTTCCGTAAACAAAATCTGATATCTGTTTTTTTTTTTATTATTACAGTTAAAACCTGAATAGAAACTTTCCGTAAACAAAATCTGATACAAATTTCCTTCTGTACGAATCTTGAAACAAATTTACTGACTCAGTGCGCATGTTTTTCAACTGGAAACAGGAGCGTGATTGGTGAAATAAGGAAAGAAGGGAGAGATGGAGAAATTAGTTAGCAATATGATGCATACCAGCGTGCTTACGATCTTGAGGAGTACCAGACTTAGCGAGGACCTCGAGATCAACAAGGCTGAGGGACATGAGGCCCAAGGTGAGGCCCGACATGAGGCCCGCGAACAGCACGAGCAACACGATGAGGAGTATGTGGATGAAGAACTCCGATGTGCAGCATGTGTACTCCACCGCCATTCACCTCTCTCTGTATCTCTGTTGGAGTCGTTGGTTGAGCGTTAGAAATAGTCAGACAAAGCACGTTATCCACCAGAGCTCCACCGTCTCCATCGTTTCGGTAGATGAAAAACCAAGAAGCACGTGGAGGAGTGGTGTGAATTTAAAGTTGACCCTGACGGTGGATTTACCATTTTTTTAATTAATCACTTAATACTATTTATTTATTTAAGAGTTAATTGCTTGTAAATTACTAGTTGTAATTTGGAAGGAAATTCGAAATTAAGGGTCAGGAAAGGGAAAGAAGTGGTGATAGATAAAGAATAGATTGGAGAGATAAAAGTTGGGTCGGACCAGTGGGAACGACGGTTGATTGTATAATGTGTCCAAAAACCATGACAGCAGCGCGAATTTTGTGGCTAAAAATAATCAAGTTTAATAAAAAAATTTACCATATTAAAAAACTTTACTAATCTTCATTCACAAAATTATATTTAATGAATTCTCTCTTTTTAACCCATTTTTTTAAGTCAATATAATTTTTTTAAAAATATTGACTTTGTTTTTCTCAGATAAATAAAAATACGTTTTTATACAATTTTTAAAACTTTAGTTAGCAAATTTTATTTAGTTAATTACTCATTTTACTACTTAATAATTATTATTATTTTATTAACTTTATCGACATTCGGAGCACCTTCAAGATATTTTTTACATATTTTATCATAATTTTTCAATTTTTACTAATTTTATAGAATGATAACATGTAAAAAATAAATCATAACAATGTCACTTTGTGGTCATTTGTGAGTGTAGTATTAAATACATTTTATATTTATAATAAATTTGTATTTAATACTTTCCTCATAAGGTAAAATAAAAAATTGTTGGACAATAAGTACAATTACTTTTAAATTTTATTTACATTTGGAAATAATGGAAAGGCTTCCAATTATTATTTTTATACGAAGAACACATTAGCGTTTTTAACCCACCATTGTTAGGTCATATTGTCGACTATTGGATACTTATTCTAAAAAATTAACACCGAGAAGTTAGGTAAAGTTATTTGTGGTCAAGGATTTTTCCAAGCAGATAATTGATTATTAATCCTTTAACATAATTTGACTTTACCAGAAGTGTGTGTCAATGCTTTATTTTACAATAATTAATTTAAAACATCAACAGTTGCTTAAGTTAGTTTTTTTTTAATCTTAAATATATAGGTCTTGTAAGACCACATAAAAAATATTATAATGTTAAAATAAAGTGGTAGTTTAATTTATTTATTTTTATTTCCTATAAGTGATCTACATAGTAATATTTAAAATAATTTTGTATTAATTATTGACCTATTTTTGAATGATAAAAAAAAGATGGGAGAATTGCATTGTTCTAACCAAAGCCATGAATTCGTGAGGTCAGCACTTGTGTAGAGATATCCTTGTTATTTACACCATTTTTATAGAGGGATCATTGTAGCAGGACTTTGTCTCAACTTTTGTTTCATAAAAATCTAATAGGAAGAAATATGATTTACCCAATTTAATGTTTTGTTCGAATGTTTCTCTTTTTTTTTTTTTTTTAAATTATATAGGTATTAAAAATAGTGTTACAACGTATTTGACTGAACAATCTAACCTATCTAGGTTAGAACAGTTTGAAAATCCGTCAATTTTTTGTAAAAAAAAAAAATAGTGTCTTGTTGAATTTGATAATAAGTGAAATCGAAAGAGTTTGAGGGTGAAACCAGTTTTTTAAATCAAAATATTTTATTATCGTTTTATTTCTTTATCTTGTTCTTAGATAATAATTTTTTAATTTTTAATTTTTATTTTGCTCATGAGAGTAATTTCAACGCTATAAAAAAAATATTTATCTAATATTTATATTTATTCTCATAATTTAAATATTTCCCTTATGATATGACTTTTGATCATAATTATGAAAATTTTCAAATTGTTTTATTATTTCTAAGAAACTTAATTATTATTTATATTTAATATTTTATTATATTACTGAAAAATATAAAATAAATTATTTTGTTAAATTTAATTCAACTCGGATCAAATTAATATTTGGAACTCGCGATTATTGATTGAATGACCAATCCATTTTAAGAACCTTGATTAAAAGTATTATTTAGTTTGGTTTTATAAAATTATATTGTTTATTTAATAATGATAAATTAATATATTTTTATTTTTGGTTTCCCGTGTATTTAAATAGGATTAGATTAAATTAATTTATAAATATAATATTATAATTAAAAAAAAACTAAATAGGTTATTGACTAATGGTTCAACATACGTTCAAACCAAATCTTAAAAAGTCAATTTATTTAAAATACAAATCGATCATACCCAAACAGTCTTTTAAGTTATGTTGTTGAGCCGAATTGGACTAACGGCTTGATGAATGAATTTTCGCCCCCATTATATAGGAAAAGAACTAGGAGTTTACTTCAGGGACAATTTTGTTTTCATGCCACTTCATGTTACCCAAAAGCAGACATCACAGGACAAGTTTGACACTGTCGTTTTATATTTTTATAACTAAAAATTTAAGATATAATAATTGAAAGATGATCATCTTGTCATAATACTCCACTTCATTATAATTTTAAAATAAACATTCATGTTTATATTTTAAAAATAACATGAAACTTATATCTCTTACTTTTAATATTCATTCACTTATATCACGTCTCAAATGCTGTCATTCCGTTGCTCCTACCAAATGTAAATCGAAACAAAAGTGAAATGTAGAAGTTTAAGGGAGTAATATAGAAACTTCACTTTTTATAAATTATTAAAATATAACATGGAAAATTATTTTAATCACCTAACATTTGTATGAAAATAAGCAAACAAATGATAGGAGAAGAAAAAGTATTTTATAAAAAACATATACGTTTAATTTTGATTTATAATTTTTATTTTTAATTTGACACAAAGTCACATGTGTTCAAAATTAAATTGAGATAAAAAGTATTTTTCAATCTAAAAAATTAAAATAATTCTTTTATATACCCACTTTACTGATCTAAATTCATTAAAATTATTTTATTTATTTAATTATATTTTATTTGTTATAATCTTTTTGTTATCAAATATTTTGGGTTATTATTATTTTTTAACTCTTATATAAGGAGACTCTGTCAAAAAATAAATCTCACCTCATTACTCATTCTCAAATATATTACCCTTTTATCTAAAAGCTTACTTGAACCTTTTGTAGGTGAGTCTTTAATTTTTTCAAAAGAAATCATTCAACATCCTTGAAGTCGAAGGTGAAATCGAAGCTTGGAACATGATCGGTCGATCTTATCATATCCTCTTGTCAACCTCCATCAGTACAACAAGAACATTTAACGCTCACTATAGGGTTCGGTAAAACGAGCCTCACGATCTCTTCCATTCTATGATTTAACCCACAATCAAACGGTGTCCAACAACGACATGGACCCTATAGCCGTCATCTATAGCCTCAAGAAGCATATGAACGAGTATCAACAAAGAAATCATAATGAGATAAACAATATGCAAGAACATAATGACGCTAAGTTATCACAAATCCAACAAAAAGTAGTGGAAAATTTACAATTAATCCGAAGCTAACACCAAACCAAACTTCAAACTATTTAGTAGCATAGGATGAGTATATAAACCAAAAAGAAAATGTCGCATTCGATCAAGTGAGAACTCAACAATTGCTAGCACCAACCCACAGAAATCCAAACCAAACTAGAAATCAACATGCACACAGATCAGAAAATCCACCTAACCCAAGTAACATAATGCCAAGTCGAAGGAGGCAGAGCCACTCGAGGGAGAATGTGAGACACGAACACACTAACGAAGCTTCATTCAAGAGAATCTACAATGAAAGTCTCACTTCGGCTTCGACCCACATGTTCCCAACATACACAAAGGATCACCCATTTGTCCTAGGAATCATGGAGACACCTTTCCCATCTAACTAGGAGTCACGACATAAAGAAATATGATGGTTCAACAGATCCAAAAGAATATTTAGCAATGTACAAGACACAAGTAAAATTATATAACAATAGCGGAGCCATACTTTACCAAATCTTCCCCACCACATTCAAAGAATCAACTTTACGATGTACAACTCTTTACCCTATAACTCTGTTGATTTATATTATACATTGACGGAATCATTTCGAGTTAGATTCACAACAGTAATAAGTATGAAGCCACGTCAGTGACTTTAGAAAGTGTGAAGTAGGATGAGTCCCTCTGTAGTTTCATGGATCGATTTGTTCGAGTATCAAACACAATATCAAATCTACACCCCGAGGTGACCCTACACACGATACTAGTTGCTCTACCACTCGGACCTTTGATGGACAATTATTTCGATTATCCATAAAGGACCCTTGATGAGCTGCGGGCTCGAGCAGCCAACTACATTCGTATGGAGGATAACAATGTCATATATAAGAGAATACACATCAGTCCCTAGACACACTCGACTCAACCCTTCAAAAAACCTAAGATAGCTAAATACGAACATTATACACCCCTCAATACCAATCGAGAGGAGATTCTCTAAGAGGCTTTCAGTCTGAAACTCGTACACGCACCTCCACCATTATTGACCCCAACTCATGCAAATACAACTAAGTATTGCCGATTTCATGAGAACTATGAGCATACTACCGATGAATGCTAAAAGGTTAAAGATATAATTGAGGAACTCGTCTGATTTAGTTCTCTTACATATTTCTTTTACAACGACTTAGAGTTGTAAAACCTATTTATAAAATTATATTTTATTTAGGCTAACATAAGTATAAAAATTATACCTTACTTGAGGTCACACTGTTGGAAAATTAATAATAATAATAATAATAATAATAATAATAATAATCCTGATTTTGATTCTAACAATCAAACATAAACATAATCCCATACTGATAAACATGCTGTAAACTGAATGCGAAAGCGTACCTGAATTAGCCATAACGATGATGTCTTTGTATAGCACTATAT